AATCCCGTCCCTTTTGTACATACGCCTGTAAATTGTTTTAAATACTTGAGCCTTTTTCTGGGTGGGGGTGGGGAGGGTGAGAAGACAAGATGAAGAAAAGCCTTACACTTCAGTTTCTTCATCGGTTGGATTGGATGCTTACAGGGTTTTTCTTGTAACATTTATAAGTGCTGCTTACATCACTGAACAACAACAAAAAAATAATAATAATGGAGTAGCTGTTGCCCTTCTCCGGTTGTGTGTACAGTATGTGTGGAATAAAAAAGGGAAACTGTTTTCACAAGCTGTTCTTTGTTTCATAATTGGATTCACCGATCCCGTAGCTGCCCGTGTTGCACTGAGCTCGCCGGTGGGACTGTCAGGAGCGTCCTGTGACACACTTTGTCGGTGTTGTTGGAGACTGAACTGTGTTGGAATATTTAACAATGACATGAGCAGAGTCGTGTTTTCCAATGTGCTTGTCCGGTTTTTATGGCCTTGCTGTGTACTTGCCCTCTTTTGGACAGTGAACTTCTGCCTCCGGCTTACGGTCTGACGTTTAATTTATTAGCGCTGCTCTGCACCCTCCCCCGGGAGGGAAGACTTCATGTTGTTTATTGCCAGTTTTTGTTTACTTTTCAGGTTTGTACTACAAGGTTTAATAATAAAAACAAAGTTTTTTGGACACCTGTGTCTTGTGGAAGATGAGTGAATGAAATGAGCTCTTTCTTTTCTGTTAAATGGGCCGAGGATCCGTCCCCTCAGCCGGGGAGTGAACACCGTGTTTTAATCTCACTTTCCACCTGCTGGTGCTTGTCTGGATCCCCTGTGAGCAAAACCAGCAGCTGCCGTTTGCCCCTCACTTTCTGTGGGGCCCTAGGGACCGGCGGGCGGGCCGCCCCGCTGCATGGAGGTCAGGCCACCTGGCTGTCAGTGCCCCTCCTGCGCCGTCCCACCCCAGGCCGTGAGTGACGGGAGGCAGGCGCCCATGGCACCAGTGTCCCGGCAGGAGGGGGAATGAATGGCATGTGGACTTGGCTTACGTTTGTTTCTCTTCCTCTGGGCCAAGGTGTATGCTCTGCTCTTCAAGGAGAGGGTGCTTGCTGGACTTAATAACTGTTTAACGGTCAGGTGAAAACCCGAACTCGGGCAGAGCTGAGAGGAGCACAGTGTCCTGCCTGCAGAGGGCTTTCTGTGCTGCGCTGGGCCGGTGCGGACGCTGACTCCCTGGCCGGGCCTGCACAGCGTGTGTATTGGAGCCTCTCTGTACAAACTGGCCGGGTGCTGTTTAAAAGCCTCAAACTTTATTGTCAGCTGTTCTTTCAGTCAGTTTCTCACACGTTACTGGCAACTGTGTAAAAACCAAGAGCCTCCCTAAAACCACCTGCCTTCACAGTGGGATCCTCGTGCGGCCGAGTCTGCCTCCTGAGGTGGTCAGAGCGCGGGCGCCGGGCTTAGGAGTCACTGTCGTCGGTGTGTAAGGTGGCGAGGGCGGTGTCCACCTCCACTCCCTCCTCGTCAGACTGAACCACGGGGGACTCCTCACCTTCGCTGGGCTCCTGGGCGGCCGGGTCAGTACAGGGTGAGGGTGAGGCGGGCGGCGTGGCTCGCAAGTGGGAGGGATGTGGAACCTCAAGGGTGACTTCGTGCTGACCGGTACCTGCGTCCAGCCCTGTGAGATAAAGCAGAAAAGGGCCTGTCATGGAAGGACTGCAACTGAGCATCGCCACCGAGGAGGGGCGCTCTTCCTGTGATGCGGGGGCTGTGGGGACTGCCACCGGCGACCCACCCCAGTGTCCGGTAACACACTGGGCCCAAGGCCAGCACTGCGTTTCTCCGAGGAGCAGTCCTCGTCACCTGGATGATCTACATTTAGCTCCTTACATCCTTTGATGCAATTCAGAGAAATCGACGGTCAGGGAAGACTCTTGTGGATCCTCTTAAAGGAACCAAGACCACGCATGGAGGACAGAGCCTCTTCCTGATGCTGGGACAGCACTGTGCGCACCGCTCTGTTAAGAACTCCGGATGACACAGGTGACAGGAAGCCCAGGGGCTCGACTTCGAGGACCTGTAGCCCGAGGGTGGTTTCGCGGGCTCAGGGGCTGCTGGGAGGCTGGCCTCTGCCTTGTATGTGGAGGAAACTTAGCCGCGTGCTCTGCAAGGATGTGCACTGAGACCACCCACCCAGAAGGAATAGTCTGAAATTTTAAATAATCTGAGCCCAAGTATAGGGCCAGAACTCAGTAAGTATTTGCTGAATGGATGTGAAATAGAATTTTGGGACGGCATTAAGTGGAGTTAATGTGCCCAGAGGGTTGCAACTAATTTTTAAAACACAAGCCAGGTGCTGAACACACACCCTGGCCGTGCCTACAACAGGGTGAAATAAGTAGCTGCTGAATGGTGGCGGGGGTCGGGGGGGACCGAGTCTGAGCCACACAGGAGAGCTCCCACCTCCCCTAAACTCTAGTGTGGACCACAAAAACCCAACTCACTCATTTCTGAGAGAGAGGAGGAGGAACACTGTTAAGAAAGCTCCCTGTTCTCTGAAGGTCTTTGGGTTGAGCACTTCGAATCTTTGAGAAATTCATGATCACAACAGCCAGTGTTCATTTGTCCACTTCTGAGAGGCCAGACCCGCGTGGGGAACAGGGCTTAGCAGAACAAGAAGGGATCTGCACCCTGTGCCTGATCAAATTACCCTGTTACCAGCCCCGCTCCTGGAGGGAAATTACCGTACTAAGTGTTACTAAGTCTGTGCAGGCTCGCCCGTCCTACCTGAGTCCGGCGAAAGCACAGTGTTATCTTCACCACCAGAATTCAGGAAGACATCCAGGGCCTCCTGGTCGGAGATGTCCATCAGATCCATCTGCTCCAGCATGTCCACATTCACCTCCATGGATGACATGCTGCCCATGGGCTCTGGGGGAGATCACAGAGTAAGAGATTGGACCTGCTGTCACTTCATAATACTGTGATGGGGGGCTCCAGCTGTGCTAGGCTGGCCGCCCTGTGTTTTCTAGGTGTGAGTTACCCTCTGCTACTCCAGACTTTTTTAGAATTTGCAGCAATGTATCATTTCCATGTCCTACTTTGGTGCTTTAACTCCATCCTGGCTTAACCTTGGTTACTGTTACCTCTTACACAGCAGTTTTCCTTTTCAGCCATGGCCCTTGGCTCACAGGGGCTGGAGGCAAACCCCTTTCTGCTTTAAGCAGTTCTTGGCTTGGGAGTTGGGCACTGACTGTCCTACAACAGCATGAGATCAGCAGCCTCCCTGTGGTTTATTGCAATTCCACTGTAAGTTTTTCCTGTCCCTCTGACATTTCTCTAGTCTTCAGTCTTAACAGCAATGTTTGGGCATCTGCAAGCTGGCAAGTGGGAACCAAGAACTCCCTGCAGTGAAAAGCAGAGACCGGAAAACAAACGGGCCAGCCAGCAAGGAGAGGCTGTAGAACCAGTAGGAGCCTGTCTCAGTCTGGGCACTGTAAGGGATGCCACCTGGGCCTGGAGTTTATTTAAACTACCTCTGTGGTCCAGAAAACTGCAAGCCAGTTAATTTAAATCAGCTCTTCAACCATGCATGATGATGCATGTCACAAGTCTGTCACAGATTTCTCGGTGTGGACACACCCTTAACCCCAGGTCTCACAGGAATATACACACACTTGGCACAAAATCCAATCCAGAATTTACAGCACATGGAAATACATCACTATGAGTAAGAGCATCCTTTCCCAAGAATTTTAAATGACTTTAAATATTTTGAAGAAATTAAAGATGGAATCAAACAATGAAAAAGCATCAAAAATCAGATCAGGTATTTGAAAAAGAGTCAACTACCAAGTAGGAAAAAAAATCAGTGAAACTTAAAACTCTGGACATGAGTTACATTAAAGATCAGTGAGAACCAAGTAGAAAATTAGTAAGCTGTAAGACTAAAAAATTCTCCACTGCACAGCAAAGAAACAAGTGCTCAGTATGAAAGCGCTAAGAGGTGGAAAATGCAGACGTTTAACATGTTCACAGATCTGAAATGAGAACGGAGCTGGCGCAGGGAGCAGCAGCACTCGAGGAGGCCGATCATCTCCCAGACCTGCTGAAAGACTCGATATCCCAGACACGGGGACAAAATATATTCCAAGCAAGTCAGATAAAAGCAGTCCTCCCCTGATCACTGCAATGAACGTCAAGAGAGGAAGGGCAGGTGAAGAAAGAAGGAAATAATGAGACCGACAGCTTGTCAACAAGACAGTGAAATAACAAGTTCAAAGAGGTAGGTGTCACGTCTACAATGACATATCATTAAGGAGCATTTAAGATCAAGTGTCAGGTACAACTTCCGCTGAGCCTGCTCTCAGCAAAAAGCCCAGCCAGAGGGGAGGTCGGCGACAGGTCCTGGGGGAGACTCAAGTGCAAGGAAGGGTGTTCGCACAAGAGACCTGTAGGTCTGTGAGTGAACATGTAACGCTGCATAGACAATCGTAATAGCATCTAACCTGGCGACTTCACTCAGGCTGAATCAAGGGGCTGAACGATGAGGACAGGGAGGGGAGAGGAGCCGGAGCCCTGGTTAGTCTGGGGGGAGGCGGGGTCTCACTGTCTTCAGGCACAGGAATCATGAGAGCCGAGTACTCTAGCCAGGGACGAGTGTAGTAACTGTTCGGCCGGGCAGGGGAAAAGCGTGTTTGGGTTGAGACGATCTGGCTCGAGGTGGCAATGCGGCACGGTCAGGAGTCGGGTGAGGTCACTGCTCTGCCATCAGCACCACCCTTGGCCACAGGGGGTGGGGGGGGTCACGGCCGCTTCACCGGGGACCCTGGGGCAGTGCAGTCCTCGGGCTCCTGCCAGGCTGACAGGTCAGGGGGACCTGACTACACGGGGTCCAGCTCATCCCTCTTGGGGGCGCTCTCCCACGATGGGGCACGTGTGGAGTTTCTTTGTCCCTGTGGAGGCCTTGCTGGCATTTCTGGCCTGGCTTTGACTTCAGTTTCGAAGGGAGCAAAGGCTCCTTTTTGGAATGAAGCCAGGCAGTGGTCACAGTAAATTTGGTTCATTAACATTTGCTGTAATCACTGATTACCTGGCTTCATTACCATCTTACTAGGTGCCTTCTATTTTCCTGAAAGTGTTTCCTATAGGTGATAAAATCTAGTTATATTCTGTTTATAGGAGATACTCCTTAAGTATAAGAACACAGAAATACTAAAAATCTAATAGAAAATGGGAAATTGGCAAACAATTAACTTGAAGAAGAAAGCTGACGTAGCTACATTAATATCAAACAAAATAGACTTGAAGGGGCAGCAAGCATTATTGGGGTAAAGAGTAGCACTTCATGATTTTTTAATGGTTCAACTCACCAGGCGTTGCTGTGTGACTATATATGCTGTGGCTATGTTTTTCAAGTAAAACAGGGAAGAATGACAAGGAAAATGTAACAAGTCCATAACCGTGGGGGAAAGGAGAGTTAAATGTACTTCTTTGATAATTAAGCAATCCAAAATTGAGTTTTAACAGGAAACATCTGAACAAGCAATTTACAAGCCTAAAGAAATGGACTTACAGACCCCCACGCCTGACAGTGAGAATCCTGTTCTCAAGTATACATGACACACGCCGGGAAACACACTAACAGGCCTTAAGGTCAGTCTTGAATAAGGGGGGGAAATCCCATTCTCCAACGAAAATAAAATTTAATATTTAAAAACATACTTCTAAACAGCTTCACAAGTCAACTGAGAAATCCTGGTGGGAATGTTTACAGACCCAGAAACTACTACTTATCAAAACATGTGGAGTATGTTTTGTGTAAGAGCCACGAAGAAGGCAGAAGGCACAGGTGAACAGTCTGATGAACACAGAAGCAAACCTAACCCCCAAGTACTGCAAAGACTGAAAAGAGGACGCCACGCTAGTGTTTGACCAACTGGACAAGTTCCATCGGCAACTCGCTGAACTTAGCAAGAAACAGGAACCCTCTATAACCAGAAGAGAAAAAGGACAGTTGTCTCTTCCCACAGAGAAATCGTGGGAGTCAGACGGTGTCAGCAGCAAGTTCCACTCCACACAGGAAATGAGGAGATGAGCACGTACACGTGCAGGGAAATCCAGCACCGCTGAGAAGCTGTTCTCCCTCAGCACAGAAACGACGCCATTCCAGTCAGTCTGGACAGGACTTCTCACAGCATTTGAAAATCTGACTTTAACATTTATCCAGGAGGACAAAGGGCCAAGACCAGCCAAGGCAACTCCGAAGGGAAGGCCACGTACAAATGTGTGTGGGGCGGGGGAGGGCTCCACCAGGACTTGCTGCATCAGCGCAGGCACTAAGCACACCTGGGGCCGGGCGGCAGCTCCGCACAGTGTAGGGTGTGTAGCCACCAGATGCCAGCAGCACACCCCTGCCCTAGTCACAGCACACAGCTCTCCCGACACTGCCACGTGTCCCCTAGGGGACACAGCTGTCCCTGGTTGAGAACTGCCATTTACTGAAGAATTGTAATTAAGATAGTGGGGTTTTGGCTCAAGGCTAGACAAACAAGAATGGCACAGAAAAGACACGATGTGTTGAAACTGACAAGACCATGCGACGCCGTGGGGAGAGGGCTGGTGCTGAGGCAGACGTAAGTTACTGCTATGGAAAAAATTTAAAGCGGATCCTTTCACCTCATGATAGACACAGAAACCAACATGGTGGATTTAAGAGCCAAATATAAAATGGAAAACACTGAAACTTTTAGAATAAAGCAGCAGAATGTTCTTAGAACTTGGAGGGAAGGACTTCCAAAACGACACAAAAACACAAACCATAAAAAGTGGGCAAAGCTGGTCACATTAAAAATAAACACTTAATTAAAAAAACCCCACACATTTAGCAAAGGCCACACTAGAACAGCAAAGCCACAGATTGAGAGATCTCCACATCAGACATAATCAGAAAAGGCCCAACCACGAGTAAGACTCAGTAAAGGAAAACCACCAACCAGAGGGAAAATGGACAATCAAGGACATGCAGATTCAAACCAAAACGGGGTATCATCTCATACCCATAGCCTGGCAGAAAATTTAAGTATGTGACGCTTCCAGGTGCTGACAAAGATGTGGAGAGCAGAGGGTGTACATATAGCTTTTGGGAGAGCGTGAACTGCGTGGGTACTTTGGCAAGTAATGTGACGGGATCTCGTAAAGTCAGATGTGCTTGTCATGTGACTCGGTAATCCCTGCCCAGTTACAGACCCTAAAGAAGTGGTTCTCAAGATGTGGACTCCAGACCAGCAGCACCTGGGAACTAGTGAGAAATGCAACCCCCAGGTCTCACTCCAGACCTGCTGGATCAGGAGAAGCTGGGCTGGGGCCCAGTCCCCTCCCTGAACAGCCCTCCAGGAGACTGAGGCCTGCTGAAGTCTGAGATGCACTGTCCTAAAGAGATTTACAACTGTACGAGAGATCAGAACGTCCACAACAGCAGTGTTTTTACTAAGAATCTGAAACAACTAACGCCCGTCAGCATAGCAGTGGATAAACTGTAGCACACTCCCATTCCACAGAACTAAATGAACAAACTGGAGTGAAGCGAATGGATGGTTCTCAAAACACCTGCCTAAAAACAAGCCACGTCAAGCTACATTGTAATGCCTTTTCTGTAAAGGTTTAAAAACTTGCAGCAGGTACCGCACTCCGCTGTGGAACAGTACATGTGGGAAAAGCAAGGAGAAACAGGAGGAGGGCGGAGGTCACACCAGGATGGGACCCCTGGCGGGGAGGGGCGTGATCAGGCCAGGAAGAGAGGGCTGAGTTCAGAGAGAGATGGGAAAAGGGGTTTCAGGGAGGTGAAGAGACGCCAGGAGCGCAGAGGGAAGGGAAGCAGGGAAGCCGTGGACGCCTGCCCACACTGCCTGCGCCTGGGGAGGAACATCAGCTGCCCATCCCGACCGCTCCTCCAGAGACACCATGGCCTGGGAAGGAGAGGCTGGATGAAGGCGTTGGCGTCCGACTCCTCTGCTCCTCAGTGTGTTCCTGCGAACCATCAGAGATGCAGACGAACATTCATGTACCTCGATGTTCATCACAGCACCGCTTACAGAGGCAAAGAGTCTAAATGTTCAACTAGGGCACTGGCTAAGTATGTTAGGATGCATCCTGACTGTGAAGATGTAGCTTTCAAAACAGCCTTTCCAGGAAGATCCCCCAGATGAGTATTAAGGAAAATCAGACACAAAGCCAGACTTACTTACAGTCTATATAAACAGACAGAGACTGAAAAGAATCACCCTAAGACATGAATAGGGATTATTCTGTGCTATAGAATTATGACTAACGTTTCTTCTGTCTTTTTACTTTTTTCTTAAAGGGTATTTCATGTTTTCTAAGTATTGCCAACAAAAGCCTAGAACTACAGGAAGAGGCAGAAACAACGGTAAGACACACAGGCAGGATGCACCCACTCTGAGTGCTGAGGTCTCAGAACAGGACGGGGCCTCTGGGCCCCCGCCGCCTCCCCGCGCGGCCCCCCGCCGCCTCCCCGCACTCGCCTCGCCTCTCTGCTATCTGCAGGTAGCCCGTGGACAGGTACTGCTCCATGTCCTGCTGGAAGGCTTCCTCAAAGAACTTCTGCCGCTCCTTCAGCTTCGCTTGCTGGGTCTGCTCCATTTCCAGCACCTTCTGGGCGTGCTGTGCATCGAGTTCGGCTAAGGAGACAGAATTTGGATCAGGGTCTGAAAAAGGGACTGAGGCAGGACGGGTTATGTACACTGACTCATGGCGTCACATCTGCTTGTTGAACCGGCGCCCTGACCGCAGCGCTGCCCCCCGTGCCCTTCGGCACTCCAGCACGTGGGACTCCCTCTGCCTAGATGGACCATCACCCATGCCCCCTTCACACAGCAGCTGTTCATGTTTCAAGACCCACTTCTCAGTGACTCCTTCAGCAAGCCCACTGGAACCTGCTGTTCCATCCGGAGGCTCCACGTCCCTGAGATCAAGCTGCTGTGGCTGACTTGTCCCTCACGGCCCAGCAGGCGAAGGCCTGGGGTTCCTGGAGGACTGCAACCACGTATTATTCACCTTAATATACCCAGGGCTGGGCACACAGTAAGCGCTCAATAAATGTTGAAGAGCAAGTGCATAGCCACTGTGGTCTGTGAGAAAATCACGTAGTCTTGGCTTTGCTGTCGATGAACCAGCCACTTGGCTAAGTCAGTTAACCTTTTGGAGGCTCATATGACTCATCTGAAAATGTGGGATAGAAATATTAACCCAACACTGATGTGAAACTTTAGAACTTTATATTCAAGTGAGGGCTGAGCCAGTAACACCGGGAACAGCTACACTGTGACCAGCCTTAGCCTTGCTGCCATCGAGAAGCCTAAATTTCCATCCCGTAAGGACCCTCTAGTGGCTCAATCTTCCCGAGGCTGCGTGGAGAACACAGATGATGCAGTCACGTTCACCTTGTACACAGGCCAAGGGTTATTTCTGGATTTGCTTCTAACCCCCAAGTCCTTTATTCTCCACAGGGTGCAGTGGCAGGATTTGAAGATGGCCCCTGGGAACCCCCCCCCACCTCCCTGAGAGCACACGCCCTGCATGACCCCCAGGACTCCCGTGATTAGGTTATGCTCCGTGGCTGACTTAAGAAAGAGAGTCGTCCATCCCAGGCCTGACCTCCCCTGGCTCTTAACCAGGCCTGTGCTTTTCCTGGAGACAGAGGTGAGTGTGAGAGGGATCTGACATGAGGGTCATGCCCTCTCGCTGACTTTGAGGATGGAGGGGCTGGATGCAAGGACTGCAGGTGGTGTCCAGGACCTGAGAGCCATCCCAGGCCAACAGCCAGCATGAGAACAGAAACGACAGTCCTTCCCCTGCAAGGAGCTGGACTCTGCCAACAACCTGAACAAGCTTGGAAATGGATTACTCCTGAGTCTCCAGAAAGGAATGCAGCCTGGTAAACTCCTGACTTCAGCCCATGAGACCCTGAGCAGAGATGCTGGTCACAGGTTAGAATGGCCATCACCCAAAAGACAAGAGATAACAAGTGCTGGTGAGGATGTGGAGAAAAGGGAACCCTTGTGCACTGCTGGTGGGAATGTAAACTGCTGCAGCCACTGTGCAAGACAGTATGGGTATTCCTCACCAAATTAAAACAACTACTGTGTGGTCCAGTAATTCCAATTCTGGACATATATCTAAAGGAAATGAAAACAGGGTATCAGAAAGATCTTCATTCCCATCTTTACTACATCATTCACAATAGCCAAGATATGGAAACAGCTTAAGTGTCTGTCGACATCTGAATGGATAAAGAAGATGTGGTGTGTATATGCAAAGGAATACTATTCAGCCATGAGAAAGAAATCCTGCCATTAGAAACAACACAGATGGGCCGGTCTTGAGGGCAGTATGCTAAGTGAGATAGGTCAGCCAAAGACAAATACCATCTGATCTCACTTATATGCGGAAACCAAAAAAGGTGAACTCATAGAAACAGTGAAGCAGTGGTAACCAGGGACAAGGGTTCGGGGAATTGGGGAGATGCTGGTCAAAGGGTGCCAACTTGCAGTTAGAAGATGAGTAAATTCTGGAGATTGAATGCACAACATTGCCATTATAGTCAACACTATCTATTATATTCTTCAAAGTTTCTCTAAGACCAGATCTTAAATGTCCCCACCACAAAAAAGAAATGGTAATTATATGACACGGTGGAGGTGTTAGCTAGCAATCATGTTGCAACACATAAATGTATCAAATCAACATGTTGTACAACTTAAACTTACACAATGTAATAGGTTAATTATAAAAAATAAAATAAAAAATCTTTTTAAAGATTTAAAAATCTTCAGGGCGTTATCAGGTGATCTATAACCACCATAGCAGAACTTCCAATGAGCAATGGTCTCTGAGGCCCCACATGATCTGTCTTAGTCATTCCCACCACAAATACCCAACACCTCATCTCAGCCCCTAAGGACAACACAATCCTGTATGCACAGATCTTAAAAACTGGATAATGGAGTATATTTTAAATCCTAAACCAGGTATAGTCTCCAACACTTAGAATATTCTGGATATTCTTCTTGTAACCTAGTCTGCTAATATCAACCAGAGCAACACAGACAGGAAAATGAGTCTTCCCGACAACATGTGATCACATGTATGATGTTGATGACGTGCGGTCTCCTCACACCATGATAATTATTATGTGCATTCTCTATTTCCAGGGCCCCCTGACTTGCATCCCCATCTCATATCTGTTTACAGGGAGATGGTCTGGAAAGAGCACATGTTTTATAATCAGTCTGGTCTTGGGTCCTGTCCCTTTTAGCAGATGCTTCTGACACATCACACCACCTCCCTTTAGTCTACCTCTGATTTCAGCTACAGCCCTTGAAGGCAGCTCTGTGTGAACTGATCTGTATGCTCACAAGGTCCCACCTCAAGGTGCTTCTGTTGTATTTTTCTGGTCAGAGTATTCTCTGAATTCCAGGGAACCTACAAGCCAAATGGCCCAGAAGTTCTGGGGAATTAAGGCAGCTCTCAACCGATGGGTGACAGAAGCCAGGGTATCAATGCTCCAGCTCCCATCCTTTGGATGGACAATTCCAGGAGGCATTCTGAACACTTCTCAGCCATCCTGGTGGACCTGCAGCCTCTCAGCTTACAGCAGCAGCTTCAAAAATGCATCCCTTTATTGCTGTTTCCTCCATGCTCCCTCCCTCCTGCTTCCTGGGATCACCTCCCAAACTACCTGCAGCAAAATCCTCATCTCAGGCTCTGCTTCCAGAGAAACCCAAGCTAGGATATCTATCACTAACTCCAACTAACATAACCTCTCCAAGTCTCAACTTCCTCCACTGTATGAGAAAGGTAAACCTATTTCATAAGTTTGTTGGCAGGATCAAGTGAAGTAACTAACATATGTGAGTCACCAGGCACACAGTACTGAAGAGCAGCTGACAGCATTAAGATTAGGAAATGATCTGAAGTATTACCGTGAGCTAGGATGAGGATGACACCAAGAATCACCCTAACTCTCTCGGCCCCACTTAGGCACTTGAGAACAAGTCACCTTTCAGGGCCCTTAATCTGCAAGGAATTGAGAGTGTACTTGTAAGAGGGGAAAAAAGAGAACTCAAGAGGATGTCTTTTCATTTGTTCACTTCAGCCGTCACCCTGTCTGCTCAAATGCTTCACAACTGACAAGTGCATTAGGATAAGTCAACCCTAAAATAGATTAAGTGTGCTTCAAACACTTCAAACGAAGTTCAATTAAACCTTAAAAAGTAATTCCAAAATAGGCAGCTCAAAAACAAAGATCAATGCAGACATCATCAAAGGGCCTTTCATTAAAGCATATCTTGTTTTAACTGCACTAAGACTTTCCATAGGTATAGAAATAGTTATGCAACTTGAAAACTGATTCTTCTTAAGACTTCTGCTTCAAAAGTTCAATTCTCTCATGGTTCTGAATGATAAGTCCTGTAGTTTTTATCTTAGGCTTTCTATGTTGGAATGAAATCTTACCATGTTTCAGCCCTCACAGAAGGTGGGGAGGGTTGGATGAGGGAACTTAAAGTGAGAACTGATAAAAGGCAGTTGGAAATATTTGAAATAAGAAGTGTGTGACATGTTTTAAAACTTAAAACAGTGGCTATTTTCCTTTTCTTTAAGTCACTTTGTTTCAGAGCTGACCTCTAAGCTAGAATTACTGAGAACTAAGCGTAGTTAACTCTGTACCAGCTCTGTACTCAGGACAATGATGAGAAAAGCACGTAGCAGACACCGAAAACCACAGTCCTGCTCAGCAGCTAAGAGTCACCCTCGCCTATGTGCCTAAGCAAGGATGGTCTGATTGTGCTGTTTGTCCTGGAATTATCAGTCCAGGTTTAGCCAAGAAACAACTACATTTGGGAGAGGAGAAATGACAGAAGGACAGCGAGGGAATACTTCAAATTTAGAGGTTTAACAGCAACTGAATCTGGGAGAATGACTATGGAAAAATATAAATCGCAGAACATTTTCTACAAGGAAAAACTGCCCCTTACTCACAACTAAGATGTCATTTATTACAACATGTGGAAAGTTGGACAAATACAAACATTTAAAGAATTTCAACAAATAGTCTTAAGGTTAAAAAAAAATGCTATAGCTTGTTTTCAGCAGGAGTCAGGAGTAATCATTTAATTCCATCATCAACCCAGGCCTGCGTCTCCTTTTATTTCAACTCCAGGTCATTGCTCAAGTTTCATCTGACTGCAACCTCCACTTTAGCCCCCACTGTCAATTTCAAACGGATAATTTCTCAAAACAACAAAAAATCCCATTACCAGTGCAGATGGTATAATCAATTCTCAATTATACGTTTTAATGGGGCATAAGGGTAGGAGCACAAGATATATGAAATATTAAAAAAAAAATCCATCAAGCTCATTTCAGGAACAATTTCAACTCCACAACTGAGCCTTTTAACAGAGCTGATAAGTAATAAAAGATAGTGAGGTGGTAACAGCGGGAAACGCCTGGAGCAGCTGGGAAGGAGGAAAGGGATGATGTGCGGAAAACCTGGATAAACCTCTCCGATAAAAGAATGAGAATCTCTTTACTCCAAATATGTTAAAAGAGAAACAAAAAAATTTAATTAAAAAGGAGTTATGAAAAATTCTGGTAATCTCTAGATAATACTAAAAGA